CGCTTATTCTATAGGTATATTGCTTTTTGTCTGGCCAACATTCCACCCCATAGAGCAAAGATAGTCTCACAATTGTCCTATAGAACTTGCCCTTCAGCTCATCGGTATGCGGCGATCATATAAAATTCCGGTTGCACATCTCCACTTCGCCCACCCAGCTCTAATTATGTGTGCATCATCTTCCTCAATCTCTCCATTTTTCTTGATTGTCGACCCAAGATATCGAAAGTACGGTCTTTTTGGTATTTCTTGGCCGTCAATCTTAACTACTTCTTCGTCTCTACTCCTATTATTACTGAACTTGTATTCCATATATTCTGTCTTAGTCTGATTAATTTTAAAACCTTTAGCTTCTAATGCATCCCTCCAAAGTTCTAACTTTGTGTTGATGCTGTTACGGGTCTCATCGATCAAACTATGTCATCTGCGAACAACATGCACTACAGTACCTCATCCTGTAGGTGCCTAGTTAAGTCGTCCATAACTAAGACAAAGAGGTTTGGGCTCAATGCTGACCCTTGATGTAGATTTAGTGTCACTGAAAACTCACTTGTCGCTCCACTAGGTCTTTGTACACTGGTTAGTGCTCCATTGTACATATCTCTCACCAAGTCGATGTAGTGTCTAGAGACTCCTTTCTTTTCCAACACCCACCAAATCAAATCTTAAGATATTCTATCATAAGCTTTCTCTAGATCAATAAAACCCATGTGGAGGTCTTTTTCCTTCGCCCTAAACCTCGATCAGTTGTCTAATTAGGAAAATAGGCTCGGTTGTTGACCTACTTGACATAAAACCGAATTGGTTTTCAGATACACGCATTTCATGCTTTAGTCATTGCTCAGTTACTCTCTCCCAGAGCTTCATAGTATGACTCATAAGCTTGATCCCTCGATAGTTTGCATAATTCTGTATGTCTCTTTTGTTCTTGTAAATAGGTACCACGATACTTTTTCACCATTCGTTTGACATTTTCTTTGTTCTCAACACCTCATTGGACAACTTCGTTATCCAGTCAATGTCAATCTCCCCCATGCACTTCCAAACCTCTATTGGGATATCATCTGGCCCTAAAGTCTTTCTTATCTTATCGTTTTCAAAGCTTCTTCCACTTCCGATATTCTAATCCTACAAATGCATCTATGATCTCCTCCCTCATTTATACTCACGGTTCCTTCTACCACTATGTTTTCATTGTGTTTGTTATTTAATAATTTTTAAAAATAAACTTTCCATCTTTCGTTGACCTCTGCATCCTTCAGCAAGACCCTGTGATCCTCACTCTTAATGTATTTAATATGGTCTAGATCTTTATGCTTTTTCTCTCATTTTTGCTAATTGGAAGACATCTTTTTCACCTTTCCTTGTTCCCATTTTACTGTATAGATTATCATATGCCTTAAGTTTAGCCTTACTATTTGTTTAGCATTTTCTTAGCACATTTATATTCTTCTAAGTTTTGATCGTTTCTATTACATTGCCAAGTTTTATAATATGATTGTTTTTCGCTAATGGCTTTTTGAACCTCATCATTCCACCACCAAGTTTTCTTATCAGAATTTATTTTCCTCTTTATTTTCGTAAAACTTCTTTTGCCACTTTCTTAATAAAGTCAGCTATCTCATTCCACATAACATTGACATCATGTTCAGAGTTTTATTTTCCGTATTTAACTAATTTATCCCTAAATTAGTCTATTTTCTCATTTTTTAAATTCTACCACTTAGTTCTTGGACACCCATTACTTTCACCCGTCTTCTATGTCTTTATGCAATCGTTCATAATTACGAGCCTATGTTGGATAGTCAAACTCTCTCATGGGATAACCTTGCAGTCACTACATGATGGTCGATCTACCTTCTTAACTAGGAAGAAGTTTATCTAGCTTTTATGTGATCTTCTTTTATAGGTTATTAAATGTTCATCTCACTTTTTAAAGTAATGTTTGCTATTGCTAAGTTGTAGGCCACAACAAAATCTAGAATAGCCTCACCCATCTCATTTCTTTCCCCAATCCAATATCCCCCATGTACCCCTTTATATCCTCTACTATCTATCCCTACATGACCATTTAAGTACCTTCGTAAAAAGTCATCTCTCCATTTGGTATGTCTTAGACTATTCCATCCATGTCTTCCCAAAATTCTCTTAATTCTAGCATCTAATCCTACTTGTGGTGCATAAGAACTAATTACATTAATTATCTCTACCCTAATACAAATTTAATTAATAGGAGCCTATCACCTATTCTTTTGATATTAACTACTATATCTTTTAAATCTTTGTCTACTATTATACTTACCCCATTACTATTATTATCTTTTTTTGTATACCTAAGTTTATACCAATTTATTTGTTTAGTTTTTCTCTTTTCCATTAGTTTCCTGTAGATAGGTTATGTTTACTCTCGTTCGTTTCATTGTATCCACTAACT